AAAAACTCAACGAGACGTGTTTGGAGGAGAAAGAATGCTGACTTGCATCCAAAGAACACCATACCTACTGTGAAACATGGAGGTGGAAACATCATACTTTGGGGCTGTTTTTCTGCAAAGGGACCAGGACGACTATCGTGAGATTTTGAGTGACAACCTCCTTCCATCAGCAAGGGCATTGAAGATGAAACGTGGCTGGGTCTTTCAGCATGACAATGATCCCAAACACACCGCCCGGACAACGAAGGAGTGGCTTCCCAAGAAGCATTTCAATATCCTGGAGTGGCCTAGCCAGTCTCCAGATCTCAACCCCATAGAAAATCTTTGGAGGGAGTTGAAAGTCTGTGTTGCCCAGCGACAGCCCCAAAACATCACTGCTATAGAGGAGATCTGCATGGAGGAATGGGCCAAAATACCAGCAACAGTGTGTGAAAACCTTGTGAAGACTTACAGAAAACGTTTGACCTCTGTCATTGCCAACAAAGGGTATATAACAAAGTATTGAGATGAACTTTTGTTATTGACCAAATACTTATTTTCCACCATCTTTTGCAAATAAATTCTTTAAAAATCAGACAATGTGATTTTCTGGATTTTTTTTCTTCTCATTCTGTCTCTCATAGTTGAGGTATACCTAGGATGAAAATTACAGGCCTCTCTCATCTTTTTAAGTGGGAGAACTTGCACAATTGGTGGCTGACTAAATACTTTTTTGCCCCACTGTATGTACATTTTATGTGTTGGTACATAGTGTTGTATGTTAAGCCCTTAGAACTGCTTTTATAGGGTATAGTGCTATACAAATAACACTGGATTGAATTGAATGTGTCATTTGTTCACACATGAGGTGCTCAAAACAAATGTTCTATCTTTATTTGGAATTTGCAATATGGTTGCTGTGAGGAAAAGCCCATCTTCCTTCAGTGAAGACTCTGCTGAATGTCACATGTGCCAATGTTAAAGAAAGCAATTAGCCACTGTTGGCATGTCCTGGTCTGTGGATGAGTAATGGCTGCTGGGGCGGGAGTGTCTAGGCCTGATAAATTCTACTGTCCCCCTGCCTTATTAGTACAATGACTAACTGGGGAGGGGGAGAGGGGAGCTAAGGTGAGAGACCATAGGGGGTGTCAAAGATAAACCCAGATTGACAGCACAGCGCGGTGGCTAAATGCTAATGCAACGGGTGACATTTCAGACGCCAGCCCAGGTTAGCTTAGATGCTGCCGGCTTGCTGACAGATGGAGCTGTAGAGAAAGGGGGGAAATACCCAAAATACCAGAGCACCAACTGTTTCTTCTTCCTCATCAAAATGAAAAGAAGGTGAGGGTGGAGAGAGGGTTGAGATGCTGTCACAAGGCCTTTATCACAAGTTAGCAGGATAAGCTAATAAAGATGCTACACTCATTGATAAAGCGGTAAAGATGGCACCTAAGAAGACCAAAGGGACACAAATACACAGAAGGCTACGCTGATATTAAGCACCTGCTCTTCTTTCCCATCAGGCACCTGGGGAGTTTAGCCTGAGTCCAACATTTTCCCACTAAATCCCCAGGCGCTGCTTTTGTTGATAAACCCTTCTGCTTCTACGCCCCCCTGTGAGGAAGATTTCTATCTATACCCTCAATTTCCAGGAGTTGCCAGACCATTACAGACAGGAGAAGAACTTTTTGGCTGTTGGTGGGGAATGGAACGCCTGTCGAGGCAGAGCGAGGTCTCATCTTGCCGGGTGATCGGACGTGATGTTGGAGCTGTGTCTAATTGGCAGTATTTTTAACATGGAGTGGTGTGTCAGCCAAAGAAACCTCCGGAGTTATGAACGCCACCTTTAATGGAATCTAATTAGTGGACGGGTATGCTAACGGAAAGTCAGTGAGCAGAACAAGCACTCATGTGTGTGTGCTGCTTATCCGATTGCTCACTGAACAGTTTGGATACCTAATGATTTGTGACACAATATATATATATGTGTGTGTGTGTGTGTGTGTGTGTGTGTGTGTGTGTGTGTGTGTGTGTGTGTGTGTGTGTGTGTGTGTGTGTGTGTGTGTGTGTGTGTGTGTGTGTTCTTGCATGCATGTCTATGAGAACAAGAGTCATAATAGAACTGAACTTTTTGAAAGATTGCTAGGCCATATATAAAAGCACTATATAGGTGATGTCATTCAATCATTTGTTTATTTCAGCAAACATTTCAATAGGTTTGTAATTGTGTTCATTAAAGACAACTTTCCTGGTTGAAAAAGCAACCCAACTAATCAGAGAGATTCATTTTTACATAGCCACAAACATTTCAAAATGAGAAGGGTTCCTTTAGTTATTAGTTAAACGTTCAGTGATATTCGAAATAATAAATGAGCTTTAATTAAAAAAAATCAGTTGAGTCTAAATAAAGTCAGATGTTTCATAAATATGTCATACATCGATACATCTTTCATGATATCTCACAAGATATAAGAAGATCTGACAGGAACACCCAGTGTTAGTCAATCCTAGTGTATGACCCTAGTTGGCAGCTAACACACAAACACACAGATTACAGTATTGTTTTTGGAATTAGACGAAGACAGATTCAAGAGAGATTAGTCTTCTCAGGCGACATAATCAGATTTAGTTTTTGGCCCTGAGCATCCTCTGGAGCATTGCTGATCTGATCTGATCCCGTCATTGAGCACAACAGCAAAAACCCAGACTCCACCTAGCCCTCCTCCATCTTAGACTCCTGCTCCTTCCACTCTTTTATATGGACAACTCCATATTTCCTTCTACTTTGCCCTTAAACTTTATTAAAAAACCTCATTTATTTTTCATTCCTTTCTTCATATGTCTGCCTCTGTCTTTCTTCTTTCCTCCATACATTTTTTTCTAAGTAGTTCTTTAGCTCATTACTGCCTTCTGAAAGCATGAAAGTGAGTCTAAAACCGACATTAAAGACCACGTTGTTTATGTGTGTATTCAACTAGTTGGCCGGCAATGTCTGTTTCCATGATGAGCCTTCCCATGGAGTTTACACCACACACTGAGTTCATTACAATAGATCAGTGGAGAAAGAAAAAGGAAAGGAAGGAAAAACACACACACACACACACTGATATGTTTAATGGGTCTTCCTTTTATGATGAGCAGCAGTAATTAAAAAAAAACTCACTGTGTGACAGGGCAGGGTTGGGGAGCGGGGAAGGGAGAGATGGGAGATGGACAGAGATGGGGGGATGAGGGGATGTGGTCTGGTCCTCTCTTTAATGAGGATCCTAATCAACCCAGCGGAGGCTGCCCTGAGACCCCCCAGGTTCATTAGACCAGAAGAACCAGACTGCCAGTCAGTAAGGGAAAGAAGAGAGGGGTAGGACCTTGCTGAAGAAAGAAAGAAGTTTTTACTGAGTGATGAAGTGAAGGGCAAAAAAGCAAAAGAAAAGAGCAGGGAGAGAAAGGAAAGGGGGAGAGGGTGGGAGGATGGCCAGCGGAGATAACAGTGTGGGTCATTGGGCGAGTCACGGCTGCCATCGATCTCCTGATTGGCTGTCTGAAGCTTTCAACACGCCTGCCAAACCCTTTAATACAGGGGGCTCCTACTCTCTGTGTGTGTGTGTGTGTGTGTGTGTGTGTGTGTGTGTGTGTGTGTGTGTGTGTGTGTGTGTGTGTGTGTGTGTGTGTGTGTGTGTGTGTGNAGTGAGCACTTCTCCTTTGCCGAGATAATCCATCCCACCTCACAGGTGTGGCATATCAAGATGCTGATTAGACAGCATGATTATTGCACAGGTGTGCCTTAGGCTGGCCACAATAAAAGGCCACTCTGAAACGTGCATTTTTGCTTTATTGGGGGGGTCTGGGGGCGTCCAAAAACCAGTCAGTATCTGGTGTGAGGGTTAGGGTTAGGGTTAGGGTAATGTTGTGAATCATTTATATTTTTGTTCAGTGTATTTTACACCATAATTTTACGTCATGCGATTTGCTCTCGCGATCGGCATTCAGTGTCTTCCCACAGAATTTGATTCTATTTGCCCCCTCCCCCGGGCAAGAAAAGCCAAAGGCCCCTTAACCTATTCGGGTGGCCCATGCATCCACCCCCCCCTCAAATAAGAAAATACATGCGAGTTCATGGCTACTGTAGACAACGTTCTTGTTGCTCTGTGTTGCGTTGTTAATGCGTGAGACACACCGGAGTTGAGGATCTGTGGGGTTTATTCTCCCAAAAATATAATTTACAATTTAGGGATTTAGNNTGACTTCTTTCGGTTTCAATTTGAATTACATTACATGTCATTTAGTAGACGCCTTATTCCAAAGCGACTTACAATGACAGGAACATTCTCCCTAGAGTAACTGAGGGCTAAGTGCCTTAAAAAAAAAAAACTGGCATTTTTAGAGAGCACCGATCGATCGGCAGAGAGTGAGTATCGGCCGATATCGATCGGTGGCCGATCGATCGGAGCATCCCTAATATTTAATACCTCACACGGATAACTTCATATTCCTTATTTTGTCTAATCATTGGTTCAAAACCCAAAGAGCAACATCTAGGGCATTTTTCCTTTAAAAATGATCATTATAAGTTGATTAAAATAGTTGCAAATACATTTTTCTTTTGATTGACTAATCATTTTACATCTAATATGAATAAAAAAGGATATATTGGTGTCAAGGCCCACTTTCTTTGGGCTATACTGATTTAATGTTGACATCAATGCGCCATTGAGTAAAATTATAACCCAGACATTCAAGTTCAAAACATTTTCTGACTATTTTTATTTCAACAATTGACTGTTTCATTGTCAAATGTGAAAATGGTGACATTGAACACATCCATCTGCTGAAATGCTTATTTAGTATCGTCTTTATTGAATCTTTTACCGACAATCAGCATTTCATTTTTTACAACTGTACAGTATAAAAACCCTGCAGCAGAAATCATAAAAGACTTTCCCAGGACAAGATCAAACTGTTTTCCAGACAGAGATTGTTTTCTGAAAAGAACCATCCGGCCCAAATACGTCAGGAGGGGTTAAAAGCACTAAGCGTGTTGGCAAAAAAAACAATACCACATTCATCAAGTTCAATCACATAGGGAGACATCAAACTTACAAAAATAGACAAGCGATAGTTATAGCTATAGTTTAAAGCAGTGATTCTCAAATGGGGGTACGCGGACCCCTAGGGGTACGTTGGGCTACTGCAGGGGGTACGTGAGATAAAGAATTAAAAAAAGGTTGATTAAAAAAATACCATGCATGATTACAAAAATAATCTTAGTACAATAAGTTAAATAGAAAACACAATTTCATATAAAATATTCCTAGAACCCCTAAGGCCGTCCTCATATAAAAAAAATAAAATGTGTGTATTGTATTTTATAGTTTTTCATAATATATCATTTTGTTCATTGGTTTGTTGAACATATTACTTCAATTGAAAAACTCCTTGGAAAAATCAGTTTGAATTTGTTTTCGTTATATTCTTTTTTTTTCATGCATAAAGATGAAAATATCCTTAGTTTGTTGTAATTCATGCATGAAGGAGTTAATACATCAAACACTGATGGAACATCACTATATTGTAATTATTTATATAGGCTTTTTCTATCAAAGATTTCCGGGGTCGGTCAGGGGGTACTTGACTGAGAAACGTTTGCACTGGTTTAAAGGGTTTAGGAAAAGGTTTTTTTATCAAAAGTTTATTTCAGTCTCTAGAAAAGTCGACCTGTTGCCAGTAACAACAATTTAGATGAAGACATGAGGAAGATTAAAAACATCAAAAGAAATAATGAGCTCTAACTGTTCCTCTTTGTTTCAGCTTTGCTCCAGACTTCCATCAGGTTCCGTGTCTCTGGTTCTTTCTGTGATGGAGTGGCATGCTGCTGCCATCTAAAGGTGTAAAACGACTTGTTCCATGTTGTGTGTGAGACTATCAAACACTTCATTACAGGTTTATCAGACACATTTCTCCTCAGTACTAGCTAAATGCTTAACCTGTGCAATATATGAAATGACCTTCTAATGGCTTCAGAGTGCCTCCTATCACTGAGCGGTAAGGCTGATTGGCTGCGGGAGGGTGAAAGGTCGAGAAGGACAAATGTGAAGGATTTAATGAGACAAATATTGCTGCTGTGTCCAACATACAGGCATACACATAACACAAAGTCATATCGCTGTAATCCCTTGTAAGCTCTGGCCCGGTAGAACTGCTGGACAGTCACACGTTTGGTAATGTAATTATACCGAGCTCATGCCTTCTATATAACCTATTAACGTTAAGAAAAACGATGTTACATGAACACAAAATGAACGCAGCTGCCTCTGAGATGGTTGGAAGTGCAAAAATCTCCTCTGATAATCCCCATTATCAAACAGTGTAATTCAGTTTCGTACTAACATTAATGATGCGCCATCTACACATATTCAAAAATAAAATGTACAGTGTATTATACCATAGCAACAATTCTTTATTTTTTCTTTCTTTCCCCATCACGTGTCCTAAGCTTTGTCTTTGTTGAAGAAAATTCATCTGTTACTAAGAAACAACTCTTCCCACATGTTGAAGTAAGGTTTGTATAAAGTTAACAATGAAAGTAAAACCTAGGTTTAAATCCAAGAAGTTAAATGTCTGTCAATGCTAACATTGGAATTGCTGTCAGATGGAATGGAGTAAATGGGGACAGAAAATAATGATCAGACGATATTAAATCAGAAGATAAATATAGCCAAAACAACTGCAATCAAACGATAACATTTCCTTCGACAAGGTTGTCAATTAACA